GAGAGGTGGTTTTTCTGCCCTTGAACTCCTTTATATAGCCCAAGTATGCCTTAAATTGTGATCCTTATTTCTCACTCAGCTCAAGTATTAGGATTACAGGCATAGATCTTCCAGGGACTTGGGTTAGTATGGATATGAATCTTAACAGAGAAGTGAGAAATACTATAATTAGTCTGACTGAATTTTTACAAGGTGGAAACTCATGAGGTTTGGGTTGGAAGCTGGAAGTTTGGACTCTGGTATGAGCATTCTCCTAATGGATGGAGTTTTAGAAAATCTTCACAGACTATGTTTCTTTGAGATTTAGAAGCAGAATGGTCTCTCTGTCTCTGTGTCTCTGTCTCTGTGTATGTGTGTGTGTGTGTGTGTGTGTGTGTGTGTGTGTGCACGCGCGCATCCGTGCATGCGCGCTTGAGCAGGACCGTTAAATTGTGAGTTTTGGACACATCCTTTCTTGATGAAAGCTATGCCATATGGTACTGAAGTGTTACAGGTGCTTGCTCTATGTTACTGATTGGTGTTCAGTAAGAGGCTTCGTGCTGTTTTGTTTTGTTTTGTTTTTGTTTTTCGAGACAGGGTTTCTCTGTATTGCTTTGGAGGTTGTCCTGGAACTCGCTCTCTAGACCAGGTTGGCCTCGAACTCAGAGAGATCCCAAGTGCTGGGATTAAAGGCGTGCACCACCAATGCCTAGCGATGCTTGGTGCTTTAAAAAATCATTTTATATCCCAGAAGACATGGGAATGGAGTTTGCTTTGAGGGAGAGCATATATATGTGCATTAGTTTTGATTTATAATGAACTAACAGGAAGAAAGGAGGAGACTTTGGGACTAGTTACAGAAGATTGTATCCTCTTTCCCAGAGCCCTAAGATTGAAGCCTAGAGAATCAACTCAGGGAAACTTGGGGTTTCTTCCAGAGTGCTCACCCAGGTCTGCCCATGTATGGATGTATCTACCTGAGCTTCATGGAAGTATGTGTGTGGGGTATGTGATAGGTGTACTCATTAAATGGAGCTCTGGAAGATAATGGAAATTGATGCTTAAACAGGGTTAGTACTTTTCCCAGGGTTCCTAGATTTTTTTTTCCCCAGAGGCAGTGATTGGATCCTAGATCTTTTGATGTCAAGGATTTCATTTAATCTTTGCCATTAAGAAAGTAAAGAATGCTGGGCGTTGGTGGTTCATGCCTTTAATCCCAGCACTCAGGAGGCAGAGACAGGTGGATCTCTGAGTTCGAATCCAGCCTTATCTACAAGAGCTAGTTCCAGAACAGCCTCCAAAGCCACTGAGAAACCCTGTATCAAAAAACCAAAAAAATAAATAAAAAAGCCGGGTGTTGGTGGTGCATGCCTTCAATCTTAGCACTTGGGAGGCAGGCGGATCTCTGTGAGTTCGAGGCCAGCCTGGTCCACAGAGCGAGTTGAGTTCCAGGACAGCCTTCAAAACAATACAGAGAAACCCTGTCTTGAAAAACAAAGACAAAAACAAAAAAACAAACAAACAAAAAAAGAAAGTAAAGAATTTCAGTGGAGTGATGGGAGCAAGGAAGGCATGTGTTTTCTCACACTGACATACTCCTAGTTCCTCGAGTTCAAACTGTAATTACTACAGTTACATTGCCAATGGCTTCCTGTATGCTTAAATTTTCTCTAAGCACTTCTCATAGATTGTTTCATTTAGTTCTCATAATGAACGACCCTTATGTGTTTTTTCCATCTTACAGAGAAAAAGTGAAGTTTAGTGTTAAAGTAGCACTTTGCTCAGTATTGTGTAAATGTTGGGATCTGGGATTTGAATGCAGTCAAGATCTAAAAGTCCATGTTCTTTGATGATTGGTGCTAGCAATTCTCCTGCTTCAACCTCCTAGTGCTGAGGTTATAGATATGAGTCACTATGCCCAAATTATATTCCTATAAAATAGGTATTTAATTACACTAATTTATTTGTGTCTGGGAACATGAGTACTGTAACTCCTCTGAGGAGGTCAGAGGACAACTTGTAGTAGCAGGTTTCTCTTTCTCCCATGTCCCAGGAATCCAACTCAGGTCATCAGGCTTGGTGCACAAAAGTCTTATCCCACAGATCATCTCACTGGCCCCCAAATAGATTTCTCTAGCCAGTTTATAGTAGAACAAATCATTCCAGGGACTGTGCTATCAGTGACTGATATTATTGCTCTGCTATTTGGTTAATACTGTCCAATTCTTTGGTCCTTCTGGGCACTTGATTTAATTTATTTTGAAGTTCTGACAAAAAAAAAAACTGACTGTTTTATCATTGCCATTGCTTGAATGAGTAAGCTGTAGACCTGGAAGCTCTTTCTAGGATGGGTGGATTCCCTTCAGTAAAGACCTATGGCTTGTTAAAAGTAAACACAGCTATTCTCATAAAACATAATCCTAGGAGAATCACAAAGCTAAACACTCCCCTTGAGGATCCTTTTTTTGGTGAAAGTGTTTGACATTAATTGGTGAACCTGGAAAGACTTGGAAGACTTTTCTTGATACCAGCCAGAGTCAGTCAGTAGTCTGTAATATAGTCTTTTTATGGTATGTGGCAGGAAGAGGGAGTCATCAAGTCCTGAGACTTTCTGCTATTGCTTGTCATGGATACAGTTCCCATGTGCACTTTCCTTTTCTCTTTCCCTTCCTCTTTTCTTATGAAAAGAAAGTTCTCAACATATAGGTCAGAGGGCCTTGAGCCTGCCATTCATCCATCCATCCATCTATCCATTCATTCTTTTTTGTTTGTTTTTGAGGAAGGGTCTTGTTATGTAGCCCCAGGCTGGCCTTGAACCCGTGGTTCTTTTATTGAACCTCATAAAGTGCTGAGAATATAGGCATTTGCCAGTATGCCCTGCTTGGACTTCTGTTTGGGAAGCATGGCATAGAAGAGAATGTAGGTTTTAAAAATATTCTAGACTGAGGTTTAAATTCTAAATTTGCTATGAACTCTAGGAACTTTGTTAATTTTTTCACCTATGAGTATGTTTTCACGTTTGCAGTAAAACTTAACTTCTTTATGGTTTCTGTGATTGCTAGGGCAATAACTGTAAGCCATTTAGTCACTGGTAATTTTTACATACATGTTCTGTTTATCTGAGGTAACAAACTTGTAAGGCCCTGAGGAGGAAATAAGAATGAGTGTAATAGATTTGTAGTGTTACAGTGACAGTCAGGTACTAGAAAAACACCCTCTCTTCCAGAAACACTAGTTTAGTTGTGACCTAGTATATAGAGCTGGAGTAGAGAAACCAGCTCATCTACTCTGTAGAATCCAGTTGTGTTCTTGATCCGATTAATTTCATCTACTACTTCACAAAATAGTTTGGGCCTGAGACATTACCATGAAGTAATGTAATTGGATGATTGAAACTCACTCTTGAAACAACTTAATACCTCACCTTGTAGAACACACTATCTCACTCAATCTTCACAACAGCTCTGACTTAGGATGGTCTATCGACACCACACAGATGAGAATAACCATCACACAAGCCAGGACTAGGACCAGTCTTGTGAGTTGTATTCTGTCTCTACTTCCCTCTCTAAAGCAGAAAATCTATCCATGTATAGAGACCTAGGAATTCCACCTCTTTTTCTACTTAATTGTACTTTTGTCTCAGAGTCATTTGGTCAGCTTTAAAGCCAGGATGCTGGAGAAGTTGGTGTTTCTCTGGACTCTGCTTTGTGACTTAGATCCCTCAGTGTTTTCCATAACTTTCTTTCTAAATCCCTGATTCAAATTAAAGTTCTGGGGGCAAAAGTGACCATTTAAGGCCTGGTGACAAACAATGTCTCTCTGTGGCAGGGAGTGTTGTTTCTGTGTGCCCCTTAGTAGTGGTTGCCTGGGCTTTTATTAGCAAGAAGATTACAGGGTGGAGGCTGCCACAGTGGTGACTGCAGTGCAGGCCCTGTTTAAAGAGTCTCTCTTGAGCAGGCTTCTCTTGATGTGGAAGGGTCATAGGTCACTGTACGTAGTAGATGAGGACAAGTGTTTAAAACGCACAGAGATGAAAAAGGAGCAATTAAAGCAAACCAGGAATGGTGGTACATTTTATACTCCAGTACTTGGGAAGTAGAGACAGGAGCATCAGGAATTTAAGGCCACTTTCAGCTTTTAGTGAGTTTGAGGCCAGCCTGGGAGACTGTCACAAACAAAAAACAAAAGCAAAAAAAAAAGGGGGGGGTGAAGAAAAGAAAAAAGTACTTACCAAAGAAAGACCTTTGAGTGGCTTGTTGGAATGTGGGGTAGGAGTATGAGAAAGTGGCATAGGGCTTTGGGCTGAATGAAAACAGTAGTTGATAAGTGATGGTGGGAGCCCAAGGCTGGGTAGGAGGGATTTAGGGACAGTTCAGCATGTTCTCTGTTTAATGACTGAATTAATTAAGTTTGCTGGGCACCTGTTTATCAGTTTCCTCTGGGTGCTTTTGCTTGCTGAATGCTGGATACATTCTAAGGCAAGCAGGCCCAAGCTTTTGTGTTTGGTGGGGCTCTGGGGAGCGTGGGAAAGAGAGCCTAAGCAGAAGGCCCAGCCTAGGCTAGTCTCCACATGTCTTCCCCACCATGACTATTGCATTGGTTTCTCAATGTCTTTGTGGGCATGCTGGGACTAGGCTTTGAGGTTTCTGCCTTAAGGGTGGGAAGGAGGGGGAAGGGCATTCCAACAACAAATTTCACCCCCCCAATTTGGTTTCCTGGGACAGAAGATATATGGCGTTTTATCTACATTATAACCTGGTTTGGTTCTTCATGAAATTAAAAGTAGAGTCACTCTATGTGGTGACAGTACAATTTGTGATTTAATTAATCTTACACCCAAGGCCCAGCTATCTGAACACTGCAAAGTTTAAAGGGTATTTGTTACATTAATTCCAAATTGTTATCTTAAATAACTCCCTGTCTTTCAAATACTTCCCCTTACACAACTTGTATTTATGCATAGGGTATATTTATTTTCTTCCCATTCTCATTTTCCCTTATTTCACATATTTCTGCAGCTCTCTCCTTCCTGCTTGCTGCTTTCTGAGGTGGCTGGATGCTTCCGTGATTTATGTGAATCTAGACTGGGCTGTTGTTCTCTGTGCTAAACCAATCAATTACGATCCTTCTCTTAAGAGGTGTGTATGGAATCTGTTTGTTAAGAATTAAAAATAATTTTAGGTACCTTCTTTTCCTTAGGGGATTGGTGAGAGGATAGGGAATATGGGAGGGAAAAAATTCTCCTAGTTTGCCGTTCAGCAATATAAGATATATATATTACATATTGTATATATATATTTGTTTTTGTTTTGATACAGGGTCTTTATGTTGTCCTGGCTGTCCAGGAACTTGATATATAGGTCAGGTTGGCTTCAAATTCATAGAGATCCATTTGCTTCTGTCTCCCAGGTGGTGGGATTAAAGCCCTGAGCCACCACACCTGGTCACAAAAACTTTTTGAGATAACATTTTACTAAATTGCCCAAGATGGCCAGTCACAAATTTCTGTAGCCCAGTCAGGCCTAGAGGTTGTGATCTTCAGCTTTCTGAAAAGGTAGGATTCAGGTGTACCACAGATATACAGGGCTAGAGGCAAAGCATTATACAGTGTTTTGTGGTTTTGCCACTGGGTTGTTTCAATTAACATATTTTGCCCTCTACACTGGAGTATAGTTTTGGAAATAAAAAAAAACCTCCTCATAAATATATTAAATGTGGTGGAGGCCTTTTGTCTTTCAACTTTGGAAAGCTGGTTTTGGTTGTGCCCCCCACCCCCTCCCCCCCCCATCCCTCAGACAGGGTTTCTCTGTACCTTGGCTGCCCTGGAACTCTCACAGAAATCCTCCTGCCTTCCGAGTGCTGGGTGTGCACCACCACTACCCAGCATATTTTCATTCCTTAACTGGTACTTTAATTTTCTATAGTTCATGACTCCTCATTTATAGTGTTCAGGTTGTCTCTAGGAGCTTGTCCCTGCAGGACAGTAAATGCTTACTGGGAGTTAAAATTTTGATTAAATGACGCCTGCAATTTTTTTCCTAAGGAAAAAAATCTAATTTTAATCCCATGCCGTTGTCTCCTTGTCTTGGTAACAGTGTAGAGAGACTTTGGTCAAGCTGCCACCTTTTCTTTCATAGTAGAAGAGGGTAGTAGGCAAAGGATTTTTTTTTTTTTTGAGACATTGGTGATGGGCTCCGAGCTTGGTTGGTGGTGTCTTGCTTTCTGCACTGCAGTAGAACTACAGAGGGCATCTTTGGCACTGGGGATTAACAATTCATCTGTCTTCTCTGACCTGTGACCTTTTCTCTTCTCTCTCTTACCGCCCCCTCCCTAGTGTGCAGTGAGGGGTCCTACTCCCTCCTTTCTACTTCCTCTGTGGTCCACCTTACTTTTTATCCTGCCCCGCGGCGGCTCCTCCCCTAACCTTCATGGACGACTCAGAGGTGGAGTCGACCGCCAGCATCTTGGCCTCTGTGAAGGAACAAGAGGCCCAGTTTGAGAAGCTGACCCGGGCGCTAGAGGAGGAACGGCGCCATGTCTCGGCGCAACTGGAACGCGTCCGGGTCTCACCACAAGATGCCAACCCACTCATGGCCAACGGCACCCTCACCCGTCGGCATCAGGTAACCCTCTCCCCATCAGACCTGCAGGTAGGACATTGGAATGGTCGTAAGAGAGGCCTATGGATCTTAATGAGATCCTACTGGCTCTGGGCTGTCCAGTGTGTACACTTCATGATGAACTGTTCCAGGGATATGATAAACACCGATTAAGAGATAAGAGGTTTGTTGCTGATCTGAGTTGGGTGGACTTTAGTAACCAGCGAGACTTCCTGTTTTGCTAGAGTGGGTTTTCTGGGCAGGGATGCAGTTTGGAGCTACACTCAGTCACTTCTGTTTTCTTTGAGGTATCCTTTTTCTTAGGGTCAAAAATTAGGAAAGAATGTCTGCTTGGTGGTTGGGGAAGTTGGGCAGCTTGAGTTCCTAGCTCCAGTTCAGTCTTATCCAGGGAACAGTTTGTTCTCAGAAGCATTTTAGTGTTGGCAAATTGTATATTTCTTTTCCATATTGTCCTTGTGTGCTTTTGTTGTGTGTGTAAATCATGTTTTGGAAGGAAGGGTCATTGTTAATCTTTACTGGGAAGTTGGAGAGGGAATATTATGCTGTTATTTAATCCAGATAACCACAGGAGCCAGTGGTGGTCTCTGGGTTGGCTGACTCTGTGATGGACTTGGGAGGGCTGGTGTTAGTAATAAGAAGTATATCGTGTTTCCTATGGCTTATATCTAACTTTACTGCGATGTAATCTGTTTGAGGTTTTTATCTCTGTGTGTGTGTGTGTTGTGTGTGTGTGTGTGTGTGTGTATTGCGCACATGAGCTCATGCTCAAGCACTTAGTAGACTGCCTCTGAAGAGGTCTATGAGTATAATTAGAGCAGTGCTTATGCTCTTTTTAACTGACTGTTTATTTTATTTGTTTTTTTATTTTGTAGTGAGAAGGGGTTGACCCTAGAGCCCTGATCATGCTAGGCAAGTGCTGTGTCACAGAGATATATCCTGAACTAGTTACTTACTAATGTATGAGGAGGTGGGGATGGAACCCAGGGTCTTGTGCATGCTAGGCAGATACTCGGCCACTAAACAGCATTTCAGACCTTTGAATTTTTGAAGACAAGATATTGGTATGAAGCTGTTCCTCTTGCCTCTGCCTCGCTAGTGCTAGGATTGCAGTCATGTCCAGATGCTTGTTTAATCCTTAAATTAGTGGGCATAATTTGAATGGGCAATAATCAAGATTTTAAAAGAGACTGTGTTTGCACTGTTCAGGGAATTTTACAGGAATTGAGTAGAGAGTTAGGGAAGAGACAGACTGAAGGAAAGAGGACTGCTCAGGCTTTATAGGTGGTGGGGAATCCCAGGATTTAGTGGTTTCTCTCTTGTTCTCTTATTTTTAACCTCTGCTCAGCAATGAAACCACACCCTTCTTCCTTCCTGAAAGCAATGTTTAACTTCCTCCCTCTGCAGCATTATACTCCCTGTAAAGGGGGAATGGGTGGAGGGAGAATCCCCAGAGGTTGTTGGGTCTTACTGTCTTCTACTGGGGAAGGAGCAAGAAATGTGCTTTTATGTATATAGTGTCATTAGGCTATGTCTTGGCACTTAAGATGGAGCAATTTAAGAACATTTTAGAATGTGTTCTGTGTCTGTAGCTTGATAAAGATATTAAGATTTTTCTTGAAGGGGATTGCCAAGTACTTGTCTTCCTATTTGGAAATGGAGAATTAACTCTTCTTTCTTTAAAAGGCTTCCTGGAATGGGAGTTTCCCATGGTAGCAGAGCATGAAGATTCCTAGAACTTAATAAAGAAGGCTTTTTTTTGGGTCCCCCCCCAACATAGCTTTTTTGACTTTCCTTATGTTCTTAGGGCTTTCCAAAAAGGTTGTGTGTGGGGTTCTGTGCTATTTATTCAGCAAATGTTTTTTGAGTGTTTCTCATGTGGCAGGCACTGCTCAAGACATTAGGGATACATTCCTAATACTACTGACCTCAAACCCTGTGTACTCATGGAAATTAACACTCTTATGTTCCAGGGACTCAGTCTGCCAGATTTTAGGCCTGATGTCAATGTTGAGGAAAGTGATAATTTAAGATTAAGGAATGCTATGGGTCTTTTATGAACACTGACACAAGGATTTCAGGACACAAACACCTTCTTGAAAGCCCTTTCTTTTTTTTTTTTTTTTTTTTTCTGTTTGGAAAGAAAGATGTTTGTGTTTGAAAGAACAAAGGAAGGCCAGAAAATGAATTGTCTTCTGGGCTATGTTTCAGAACGGACGGTTTATGGGCGATGCTGACCTTGAGAGACAGAAATTTTCAGATTTGAAACTCAACGGACCCCAGGTAATTGTTTTGACTCAAGTTCTGTATGACTTCATATCTTTTTACTTCAGTCTTTCCTTAATTTAGGAAAGTAAAAGGTGCCTTCCAAATTATATATAGTTTTGTTGATTTAAAAAAAAATCCATTGACTTTTATCATGTTACTCCTGTCTCTTCATTTGACCCTCTGGTATTGTAATTGTTTTTTTTTGGGGGGGGGTGTATGTGCATATTTCTGCATTATAGAAAACTTTACCAAAATCTGATTGGGTAGTATCTGATGAATAACATGAAACTCTTGCTGAACCTGGTGGTGCAAGTCTAATCCCAGTGTCTTGGGAAGTTGAGGCAGGAGGATCAGAAGTTGACGGCCTGCCTGGGAAATTACTGGAACTTTGTCCCAAAGTAAACGAAGAGGGTTCTGAGCTGGGCGTGAGTGGCGCATGCCTTTAATCTCAGCTCTTGGGAGGCAGAAGCAGGTGGATCTTTTTAATCTTGAAAGATTTTTATTGGGTTAGTTATTCTTTTGAAGCATTACTCAGATGTAGATATAACAGTTAACACAGTTTATATTCAAGTAGGTGACCAGAATGGGAAGTTAAATCTGCTGTTTCTGCCACTAGGAAGCCATCGTGATTTTAGTTTCCTCTTTTGTTGTTGTTGTTGTTTCTTTTGTTTTTTTTGAGACAAGGTTTCTTTGTGAATCCTGACTTTCCTGGAAGTCACTCTGTAGACCAAGTTGACCTCATAGAGATCTGCTCACCTCTGCCTCCCTTAAGTGCTGGGAATAAAGGTGTGCACCACCACTGCCCGGCTAGACCTATTTTCATGCCAGGGAGATTCTATTTACTGTCCTTTTACACAAATTATTTATTTATTGAGATAGGGTCTCTTTAGGTTGTCCTGGATGGCTCTAAATTTGCAATTTAAATTAGGCTAGCCTAGAACTCTTAAATATGCCTGCCTCTTGTTCTGGGAATAAAGGTGTACACTACTATGCCCTGCCATTTTACAAGTTTAAAAGATGACAACCACTCTTTCTAAAACAGCCTAGTGGAATTTGCTTGAAGACTTCTTGTCTCTAGAAGCACTAATGTTTCTTATTAGGAGGATTGTTAATTGCATAGATTTAGTTGTGGCTTTACTCTTTCTCTCTCATAGGATCACAACCACCTTCTGTATAGCACTATCCCCAGGATGCAGGAGCCAGGGCAGATTGTGGAAACCTACACAGAGGAGGACCCTGAAGGAGCCATGTCTGTTGTTTCTGTGGAGACCTCAGATGATGGGACCACCAGACGTACAGAGACCACAGTGAGCTGAAATTTGCATGTCTTAGAGTTATAGGTCCTATGTGGTCTTTTAGTAGAGATGTTAACCAGGTAGATGGGTGCAGGTTACTGATTGCCAGAAAGAAAATGATCACTGGGCAAACAGAAAAGCTAAGAAATGTAGGAAAATGTAATGGAAGGGGGAAGAGAAGGGAATATGACAGCTGTAATAGTTATCCAAGAGCCTGCTACTGACAGGGCAGTTTTCTCACCTAGGGCTTTCATGGGATGGAGAAAAAGGTATAGATGACACAGTGAGACATTTCTAGCTAAAGACCTAGAAGGTAGGGGTTTCTTAGAGTAGTGTGGAATTTAAACTTAGAATCTTTATTTTCTTCAATAATTGCTTTCCATTTTCTCATTCCACTGAAGGTCAAGAAAGTTGTAAAGACAGTGACAACACGGACAGTACAGCCAGTCCCCATGGGACCAGATGGGCTGCCTGTGGATGCCTCATCAGTCTCCAACAACTATATCCAGACTTTGGGCCGTGATTTTCGAAAGAATGGCAGTGGGGGCCCTGGTCCCTATGTGGGGCAGGCAGGCACTGCAACCCTTCCTAGAAACTTCCACTATCCTCCAGATGGATATGGCCGACACTATGAAGATGGTTATCCAGGTGGTAGTGACAACTATGGCAGTTTGTCCCGGGTGACCCGAATTGAGGAGCGATATAGACCCAGCATGGAAGGCTACCGGGCACCCAGTAGACAAGATGTCTATGGTCCCCAGCCCCAGGTTCGAGTAGGTGGGAGCAGTGTGGATCTACATCGATTTCATCCAGAGCCTTATGGGCTAGAGGATGACCAGCGCAGCATGGGCTATGATGACCTAGATTATGGCATGATGTCCGATTATGGCACTGCCCGTCGGACAGGAACACCCTCGGACCCTCGCCGACGCCTCAGGTGGGCAGGACTAGGGAAAAAAGACTCTTTTTCCAGATGGGAAAAGTGTAGCTTTTAGGGGTCAGTGACACCTTTGGACACTGGTTCCTTTCTCTTTTTCATAGAAGAATCATTGAATATTGATTTGCTCTCTTTTTCTTGTTATTAGAGTCATATTTTAGTTATACTAAGTTATTTTTTGTTTTTGTTTGTTTGCTACTGCTTTTTGAGATGTCTCAGTGACTCAGGCTGTCTACCAGTCTGGCTGTGTAATAGAGGATGACCTTGGACTCTTGATCCTCCTTCCTCCACCTTGTAAATCTTGGGATTACAAGTGTGTGTCACCACAGTTGGTGAGAAAGTGATTTGTGGCCAGGTGTGATGACTTAACGCTTGTAATTCTACTGCTGAGGAGGCTGAGACGTATGACTGCAGTTAAGTTCGAGTCTGCTTTGGACTATTTATTGTGTGGACAGTGAACATTTGTGTACCCCAAAAGTGATTAATGATGGTCTATGTCCTAAAGAAAGAAGAGACTTGGTTGCTGTGCCATAATTTCTGCCTAAGATTTGGCTCCCTTTTGGTGAAAGAGAAAGGAACATCACAGAGAGTCTGAGTGTTCATGCTCTTGTTCCTGAGAACTTTTTAAGCTATGTTTTTGGTGTTAGAAGAACACAATTAAGATTGTTTTTTAGAACTGTCCTTGTAGTAGTTCTAATCTTGGTGTTTATAAACAATCACTTTTGACCTGACAGAAGCTCTGACACTTTGTATTTAGTTAGAGTTTATGAGGTGGTGAGTGGGGGAATGGCCTCTGGTATATTAGTAATACTCCCAACTGTCAATAAGAGGTTATCTATTCTGAGGGTACTTATGACATGAAGGATTACTGTTTGGATGATCAGTGGTGGTTGCCTTGGAAGAGTATTTCAGAATGTGATTGAAAGGTTTTTCCTCCCTCCCTCCCTCCCTCCATTTGTTCCTTCCTTCCCTTTATTTTTGTTGTTGTTGAGGCAGGGTATCACTATATAGCTCTGGCTAGCCTCTGACATACAGATAGCCCTTGCCTCTGCCTTCTGGGTGCTGGGATTAAAGGCTGGCAGGACTTTGTAAAGGACCCATTTTAGGCTTTGTGTGCTGTGCATTAGTATCTTTGTCATGTCTGTTACTTGGTTTTCATATTTACAAAAGGTTATTTTTAAAATTCTTATTTCTGGATATATACAAAAAACATGTTTGGTCTTGGGCTGAAAACATTATTTTAGAATAAATCAGGGTCTATATTTTCCCAGACAAGATTTATGGTTACCTTGATAGTGAGGGTGCCCTGGCAGCTGTTGCTCAATTTCTGAATGTAGGTTCATGACCTTCCAAAGCAAAGGTCTTGGCATTTATTTTCCGAATATATTAGGTGGTATTGGCTAACCATAAACTGAATTAGTCTGAGGACAAGAGTAGAGGTCCTATTATCTAAGCCTGAGTCATTGACACTCTTCAGATGGCATGGTTAGCAAATTCAACTCCCATGTGACTCACCTTTTATTCCTGATGGGGCACCAGATCTTAGCTGGGGTAAGCTAGCCAGGGGTAGATAGCAGCTATCATTGGAATAGTCTGCCCAGGGAGTGGGACTGGAATGTAAGTCTGCTTACTCTGACTTCCTCATTAGCAAAGAGAGATTAGACACAGATGGGTGTGGATGGCCAGGCCATTCCCGCTGTCCCATGAAGTGGCAGTTCACATAGAAAGGATTTGGGGCTTGGTTCTTGGCTTTGCTCCAGGATGGCATTGGGCTTAGAAACCTGCTTGACTAGCAAGAATATCTTCTGCTTCCTGTTCTGGGCCTACAAGAACAGTTGCAAGGTCAAACTTAAGCAGTGAGGCAGTGAGTAGTGGGAAAACCACTGAACTTGAAAACTGGCTGTAGCTGCACCTCTACCATTATCTATATAGCCTTAAGCGAGTTATTTGAACATTTGGGCAGTTTTGTCATTTGTAAAAGACTTATTTTTAATTAATTTATTTTTATGTGCATTCGTGCTTTGCCTGCAAGTATGTCTGTGTAAGGGTGTCAAATCCCCTGGAACTGGAGCTACATACATTTGTGAGCTGCCTCATAGGAAAGAATCTTGATCTATTGCCTCTGAAAGAAGGAAGTATATAGATTTCCTTGAGAGATTGAAAAAAAATCTGGCAATGGCAATTATTTTTGTAGTTGCTTATCTTAAACAAGAAGAGTAAAATCTGCTCAACACACACAAGAAAAATAAAAATTGAAACACCTTTCATGAAGAACAGTTTGGTGTATCCTTGAGGTTTCCTTAGGTGTGTCCTGTTTTCTCTCATTAAGAGGAAAAAAAAGTGTGTGTGTGATCTTTTAAAACAATTTGTTTCAATGACATTTTAAATTTTAAAGTGATTTTTAAGATTTTTTTTAACTAAATGATTTGTCCCACTGAATCTTTCATTGTTTAACAGTCAGGGTTTGTACCTGTTAGATAGGCCTTCTGATCAGGCTAACTTTCAGTGTTTGATGACAGTGGGAGTGGTCTTATAGGACAAACAACAGTCTTCTTGGAGAGTCCCACACAATAGATTCTCTTCTCCCTTGTGACTCCTACAGGGTGAGATGAGCTCACAAATAATGGGGCTCTTCCTGGTAGTTATGAATAAGTAATAGTATGACAGGCTCACCCTCTAGTGGTTGTTGGTAATATTGACCCAAGAAAAGTTGCTTTTCATTTGACTTCTTTTAGTTTCTTCCTCTGATCCAAGAGCTGGGACATTCCGATTAGATGTTGGTGTGTAGATGCTATTTTGGCAGAATTCGTGTTTACAAATTGGAGGATGGAAGTCATTGTTGACCTCTATGACAATTAATGTTCAAGTTTATACCTCATTAGTACTAAAGCCAAGTCCTCAACAATGTAGCAAGAAGTTTTCCATTTTTCTTGATTAATTCAGTTCCTCTTTTGTAATTTCCAAAATAGGGCAAGGAAAATAGGAAAATTAAATATGAAATGTGTTTAGTGGTCTTGTTTTCATGTTTCCTGTGTGCAAATGCCTTGTGTACTGTTCAGTTAAGATTTAAGAACTATTCTCAGGGTTTTTTGTTTGTTTGTTTGTTTGTTTGTTTTTGAGGGTGGGGATGGGAGGAGAATGTGTTGGGATAGAACTTTGGCTTATAGTTCTAGATTGCCTGGAATTTACTATGCAGACTTCTCTGGACTCAGACTTGTCATGTGTCTCTGCCTCCTCAGTGCTGGGCTCATAAGCCTTACCTGTTCTCAGATTTTGCTTGCTTACTTATGTGACATGGAATCAGTCACCTTGCTTAACTCTTCTGTTTAAGGATTTATTTCATTCTTTGCATAGAAGTTAATGGCTGTCAAATGTCATTCAAGTAAATATTAAAGAATCAGGATTGTTGTTTTTGTGATTAATATTTCCAAGTATTTGTCTTTTTTTTTTTTTTTTTTTAATGAGACAGGGTTTCTCTGTATTGTTTTGGATGCTGTGGGTCCAGCCTGGCCTCGAACTCACAGAGATCCGCCTGCCTCTGCCTCCCGAGTGCTGGGATTAAAGTCGTGCGCCACCACCGCCCGGCGTATTTGTCTTTCTTAATCAGCAAACATCACAAGAAAAAAGAGAGAGGGTTTTAGTCTAAATACAGATCTTTAAATTAAAGTTGGGCAGGGAGATGGTTCAGTTAATAAAATGCTTTCCCCACAAGCATGGGAGCTGAAGTTTGAGCTCCAGTGCTGACATAAAAAGCTGAGCTCTGTGATGGCTCACACTTGTGATCCTAGCACTGGTGAGGCAGAGACAAGAGGATCTCTGGGTCTTGCAGGACAGTCAGCAAGCTTCTGATTTGGTGAGATACTCTGTCTCCGGAAGTAAGGTGGAGGGCCAATGAGAAGACTTACATTTGCACAAAAAATTTAAGGAGATAGATGATCTCTTTGTAGATCTGGGGTTGATCCTCCCTTGAAGATAATGGTTAACAGGAATGTCCAAGAATCCTGATTTAACTGTTTGGTTCTTGGTTCTTTCAAAACTGCAGGAGCTATGAAGACATGATTGGAGAGGAAGTGCCACCAGATCAGTACTATTGGGCTCCTTTGGCTCAGCATGAGCGGGGAAGTTTAGCAAGCTTGGATAGTCTGCGAAAGGGAGTTCCCCCACCTCCAAACTGGAGACAGCCTGAGTTGCCAGAAGTGATTGCCATGCTAGGCTTCCGCTTGGATGCTGTTAAGTCCAATGCAGCTGCATACCTGCAGCACCTGTGCTATCGAAATGACAAGGTGAAGACTGACGTGCGGAAGCTGAAGGGTATCCCGGTGTTGGTAGGATTGTTAGACCATCCCAAAAAGGAAGTGCACCTTGGAGCCTGTGGAGCTCTCAAGAATATCTCTTTTGGGCGTGACCAAGATAACAAGATTGCCATAAAAAACTGTGATGGTGTTCCTGCCCTGGTCCGATTGCTCCGAAAGGCTCGCGATATGGACCTGACTGAAGTCATTACTGGTGAGTTGGGGTTCACTCTTACTTCAGAGCGTGGCAGGGATCTAAAGATTTCCAGAATTACTTTTTTTGTTTGTTTGTTTGTTTTGGTTTTTCAAGACAGGGTTGTCTGTGTAGCTTTAAAGCCTGACCTGGAACTCACTCTGTAGAATGAAAAATTTCCAGATTTGCATGGTGATCTATTAGTGTAAACTGAGCACAGTTTTGTTTACCATAATCACTATTCCAGGAGGAAGAAAAAGAAATAATACTGATTCTTGATTGGCAGGATATTTTGACCTCCAGAAGACATCTCCATTGTTGGAGTTGCTTTGGCTGTCATAACTTGGGGTGGGGTAGAGAGTCCTTGGCATCTAATGAATAAAGAAAGGCTAAGGATACTGGTTAACTGGTAAGGATACAACAATAGACAGGACAACTTCCCATAACAAAGAATTATGTGGACCAAAGTGATGGTGTTGCTGATATAAAGAAACTGGGGTAGACTATTGGGCATAGATTATATTAAATACTGTTCAGTAAAGTTTATTTCATGACTGTGTATCTGTATTGAAGTATAGAATAAAATATATCTTACCATAGGTCATAAGCAGAAAGCAGCCTGACTAACACTATATGGGATCATATAGACTCCATAATGGACATTTCTGTGATTATTGAGGACAACTAAGAAGGAATAGAATAGGGCTTTCTCTGATACTCTTCAGACACACTGTCTTGGGTACTGGAGGAGAACTCTCTGATGACTTGTCCCTGTCAGGAACCCTGTGGAACCTCTCATCCCATGATTCAATCAAAATGGAGATTGTGGATCATGCACTGCACGCCTTGACAGATGAAGTGATCATTCCACATTCTGGTTGGGAGAGAGAGCCTAATGAGGACTGTAAGCCACGGCATATTGAATGGGAGTCAGTGCTCACCAACACAGCTGGCTGCCTTAGGTAAGGGAAAGTTTTCGCTTTTGAGATTTATAAAGATTGAATTTTTGCTGGGGTTGGTAGTGCAAGCCTGTAAACCTGTCTGAGGCTGAGTCAGTAGCCTGCCTGTGCTAGAGTGAGTACAAGGCTAGCTTTGTAAGACAAGCTCAAAAAAAGGAGTACTCTATCAGCAGATAAGTTAGCTTATTTGCTTAGTGGTAAAGTGCTTGCCTGTGTCCAGTCTTCAATACCACATATACACATGCACCCCAATATTGACTTTTGAGGAGTGATACAATTTTTCTTTTCTTGTTTTTAAATTAGAAGTTGAGGGGTTTTTTGGGGGGTGGGTATTTGTTTGCTCTTTTTATTTGTTATTGTTTTGTTGTACTGAGGACCAAATTCAAGGCATTGCGTTTGCTAGGCAAGCTTCTACTCTACTTCAAGCTTCTGTTCAAGGTGTGCTTGACGTCAGCCTACCTACTTTTGCTGCTTTCTTGTGTGCACCATGTTTACCTACTCACTCTGTATTTACTTCCTTCCTCCTCCCGTTCTCGTCACTTTTATTCCTCTTTGACTTTATTCATCTAATTAGGTAAATACCTGTTTAGAACCTCCCACATTACAAGCTTCTTATCTGGTTCTGGACTTGTCTATGTCTTAGTTGCTGTCTCACCTTATCATTTCCTATATTTGTACTTCTGTATAATAAATGACTCTTTGGTCTGAATTTATTGATGTTAGTGTGCCCTCTCACAAACCTCCATTTTTGTGGTGCTGGGTATTGGACCTATTGCCTTGTATGTGCTTGGGTAAGCTTTCAACCACTTAGCTATATCTCTACCCATAATGTTCATTCACACGTGAATGCACATGAGCACATGCATGCAGTCCACACATGCTTGTGTGTGGTGGTGGGTAGGATTTTGCTTTCTAATAAGTCCACTCTGGCCTCAAACTTCCTGCAGCTGCCTCCCAAGTGCTGGCATTGCTGGTGTGAACTACCATTTTGAGCTGTGGTATACATTTTAAAAAACACTTAATTATATGTATGGGTGTCTCGTCTGCATATTTATCTGTGCACCACATGTGTATCTGGTGCCTGAGGAGTCCTGAAGAGGGTGTCAGGTCCCCTGGGGCTTGAACTACCAGGTCATGCTGGGGATTGACTACCCATTCCTGCCCCTGGTATACATTTTTCAACATAACTCCACAAGCTTATGAAAAGTTTAGAAGACAGACTATCAGTCAGTTTCCAATTGTAGTGCCTTGCTTTTAATAAGTATTAACTGTTTATTTGTATTCAATAGAAAAGATTTTAAGGAAGCTTTAGATATAGATGAAGAGAGGATGTCAGGGACTTGAGTCATCTTCAGAACTTTGTGTTTTCCCTTAGAAATGTAAGCTCAGAGAGGAGTGAAGCTCGCCGGAAACTTCGGGAATGTGATGGCTTAGTTGATGCCCTCATTTTCATTGTTCAGGCAGAAATTGGGCAGAAGGATTCAGACAGCAAGGTAAGTTAATGACTGAGTGAATTTTGTTCACAAAGTAACTCTAGTTCAGATCTTCCACTCCAGGCTATCAGATAATATAAAGTACTTATGTCAACCCCATCTCCTTCAAATGGGCATTGAATTTAGAAGAAGCAAAGTTTGTGTGTGCGCGTGTGCACGTCTGTCTGTGTGTTTGTGTGTCTGTGTGAATGCGTGTATGTGCTGTGTGTTGTTGTGTTCAAGTGCACAAGAACAGAGACCAGGAAACCATTGGTGTCCTTTGTCACTCAGGCAGTCTCCACCCTACTCTTTGAGACAAGGTCTCACCTTGAGGCTGTATTCTTTGGCTAGGCTGGCAGTAAATATACTGCAGCAATCCTGTCTCTGTTTCTATAACACTGGATTTACAGGTACATTCAAGATCATGCGTGTAGCCTACTCCTCTTCTCCCATATATATTTAAGCTGCTTAATGTTCCTAAGTTATACATTTTCTAAGTAGGGAAAACAGTGACCTAATTGTCACATCATTTAAATAGTTGCAGTTAAATTATATGTCTGTAATCAGATCTTCTCTTAGCATGAAGATAACATGGATTTTGAGGAGCCTGGGACACTGAGAAAGCAACCTGAGAGAAGATGGATTGAGTTAGCATTTTGGGATTGATATTTTAATAGTCAAATTATAGAGACAGGATTTCTTGGAAATCACCATAGACATTCTCTTTTATAATTGAGCCTTTTGTTTTATGTCCCTAAGCTTGTGGAGAACTGTGTTTGCCTCCTTCGGAACTTATCATACCAAGTTCACCGAGAAATCCCACAGGCAGAACGTTACCAAGAGACACTTCCCAGTGTGGCTAACAATACTGGGCCACATGCTGCCAGTTGCTTTGGGGCCAAGAAGGGCAAAGGTGAGTCTTAGTTCCTGTTCTTTAATATGGGACAGGGAGGAACACTTAGCTTTTTAGGTACTTACAAATAGTTGGGAAGTCTACCTAGCAGTGACTTGTCCTTTTGCTCTGCTGCTGCTCCCCTTGTTCTGGATGCTTTGATGGTGGTGGTGATGGTGATGGTGGTGATGGTTGTTAGTGTATTGGCAAATGGGACATTGAAAGACAAGAACTCAACTAATCTGGGGCCTTCCTCCCTATTCCTTCTCCTCCTCTGCTTTCTTGTATACTTGCCCATGATCCTGTTGACATCTTTCTCCTGCGTTTTCTTCCTTCATTTCTCTCCTCGCTTTCCACCTTGGTGATGCGCTGGAAGATGAGTGGTTCTCCAGAGGTGAGTGCAATCTTTTAAGGCGCTTATCTTCTTCTAATTTGCATGTTTTGGTTTTTACCTTCCCTAATATTTCCTTGTCTAACCCTTCCCTGTGGATGCATGTAGGAAAATTTTAGTTGAGGAAAAGCATTGAAAGTTGTAGCTCTTCTGGGTTGTGGTTTTGACATGCTATTTCTGGATAGCAGTCTCTGTTATCAGAACTCTTGCTAACAGCAAGAGTGGTTATCCTTTTTGTACCAATCTCTGCCTGGTTTTGGTCCTTGTTTCTGCACCACTCCTATTTGGACAGGTATGTGTGGGATTCCCTTCTTTCGATACTGCATCTCTGATCTGAAGATTCTGACTGAAGGATGAAAAACTGAGATGAAATCTTTCCTTCCTTTAAAACTTCTTTACTGAATTCTCACTACCCTTCCCCCCTTTTTATAGGGAAAAAGCCCACAGAGGATCCAGCAAATGATACAGTGGATTTCCCTAAAAGAACTAGTCCTGCTCGAGGTAAGTTTTCCTTTTTCTCAGTCTCCAGAGATCTCAGATAAAACGATTTTGGACGTGGAAACACTAGTGCACATGGTAGCACTATATTAACAATTATCTCTGACTTGTTGTATTTGAAGTGATGTTGAAAGTATTGGGAAACTTCATGGTATCTAGCCTCAAGTCAGAAGCTAGGCTGGGTGTAATGGTACCTGCCTGCAAACTTAGTACTGGGCAGCTGAGGCAGGAGGATTGCTGTGAGTTCAAAGTCGGGTTGGGGTAGAGAGTGAGAGAACACCTCAAAAAAAAAAAGTCAGAAACTTAGCTAGCTAAGTTGCTAATGTTTTTGGATCTTGAACCTTACTTTTAGAAGAAATCTATCACAGCTTGGATTTTTGGGCCCATTGTATTAATAAATATAAACTAGCTTTCCATAAATATAAAAGATGTTAGTTAAATGATAAATCTCAGGCTGTCCTTTCGTTTAGTCATATTCCTGGTGGGGAGAATTACTGAGTTATATTAGAAATAATTTGTTTGAGAGGTTGAATCATTAAGCCTGATTACTCATGGTAAAAACAAGGCTTCAGTTAGCTATGGGGTGCAAGTCAAGGAGGAAGCAGACAGGAATTGAATATGATAAAATTGATGTCTATTCTATTTTTGCCGTGGACTAGTTGTTGTTATTTTAGGTCTTTTTTTTTTTTTTTTTTTTTTTTTTGATAGGGTTACACTATGTAGCCCTGGCTGTCCTGGAACTCTTTATAGACTAGGCTGGCTTTAAACTCAGAGATCCACCTGCCTCTGCCTCTGCCTCAAATGCTGAGATGAAAAGTGTGTACACTGCTTCAGGCTAGATTAGCCATCCTTAAGGCATGGGGTCAGCTAGGCATAGTGGTACATGCTTATAGTCCTGGCACTTAAGGCTACTCTAGCACTTGAGAGGCTGAGACCGGAAGATTAGCAGTTTGAGGCCAGTCTGTGTGCCATTACAAGTCCCTGTCTCAAAAGACAAAACATAAGAAGAAAGAGACAAGGAATCAAGCCTCTGAGTTTGCTCTTGAGTTGATAGTGAAGTCGAAAGAGCCTAATGATGGAGATGTAGAACTGTAGGCAGCCAGAGTCTGGTTTATAGGCATTGATTGGCATCTTCTCTCTTGCCCTTTCTTGTACAGGCTATGAACTCTTATTTCAGCCAGAAGTGGTGCGAATATACATTTCACTCCTTAAGGAGAGCAAGACACCAGCCATCCTAGAAGCCTCTGCTGGAGCTATCCAGAACTTGTGTGCTGGGCGCTGGACAGTGAGTACCTCTAAGAAAATGTATTTGGAGATAGGGAACTTAGCTAACTAGTTTGCTGCCACTTGTAATCTTTTCACCACTCCCCGTGTGCTTCCTAGTATGGTCGATACATCCGCTCTGCTCTACGTCAAGAGAAGGCTCTCTCGGCCATAGCTGATCTCCTGACCAGTGAACATGAACGAGTAGTGAAAGCTGCATCTGGGGCACTGAGAAACCTGGCTGTGGATGCTCGGAACAAAGAATTAATTGGTAAGGATTTGAACCTAGCACAGTGCCTGGATTCCAGCAAATGTTTAGTCATTTGTTGATGTCACTGAAGAATAGGATCTTCCTTAGTTTATATATCTGAGTGTTGGTGAAGGTTCATGGTTTAGTGATTTTTTGTTTGTTTGTTTGTTTGTTTTACGAGACAGGGTTTCTCTGTGTAGTTTTGGATCCTATCCTGCTGCTGTCTCTGTAGCCCAGGCTGGCCTCGAACTTGCCTGCCTCTGCCTCCCGAGTACTGGGATTAAAGTAAAGGCGTGTGCCACCAATGCCCAGCGGTTTAGTGATTCTTAAAAAAGCAAGAAGTGATGATTCTTCAAAAATATTATTTGTTGAATATCTGCTTTTTTTCTCTTTCTCTATGCATTGTTAAGAATTTTTCTATTTCTTCATTTGCCCAGAATTAATATAGTTAATTAACTTGTTGATTTTTTTTTAATTCATAAAGAAGAATCTGTTCCATTGACTTATCATATAATAGTACTGAACTGTTTTCACTATGTGAAGAGACCAGGCAGGGTATTTTGATATCTAGTATCACATTGTCTTAGTGCACTTAAGGGAAGGAGGAGGGGAAGTGAGTTCATGGCTATCTCATGCCCTTTGCCCCTTTGGTAATAGTCTTATGTAATAGTGAAGTTGATTTGTATGACCAAAACTTACGCTTGGTCTGATTACTGTAAAGGATATTGTAAGGCCCCTCCTGGCCTAACTGCCTTGTCTCTTGCATGTGTTACTTTTGTCTCACTGCTATAGGGAAACATGCCATTCCTAACTTGGTAAAGAATCTGCCGGGAGGTCAGCAGAACTCCTCCTGGAATTTCTCTGAAGACACTGTGGTCTCCATTTTGAATACCATCAATGAAGTTATTGCGGAGAACTTGGAAGCTGCCAAAAAGCTTCGAGAGACCCAGGGTATTGAGAAGCTGGTGTTGATCAACAAATCAGGGTGAGCTTATACTTAAGCAGAACTGGAAGATTTTGAGTGTGAGAGAGTTTTCAGAAAGGAGATCTCCTCTTCTGTTCTGTGAGATTACTTCCCCTTATATTACCCTGTGACCTGTGGAGAGGTATTGACCTATTTTCATTCTTAATGTTGGTCTATAAATTGATAATAGACTCTTACATCAAATTAGCCTATATCAGTGTTTCAGACAGAATATACAATTTGGTGAAAATTTGATTTCACCCATTTTTACATTTTTATATTCTTGTGTTGTTAAAGCAGTGATTCTCAACCCCTTTGGGGTTGTTAAATAAACCTTCATGGGGGTTATCTAAGACCTTCAGAAAACACAGATATTTACAGTACAATACAAAACAGTATTAAAATTGCAGTTATGAAGTAACAAGGAATGTAATTTTATGGTTGGGAGTCACCACACCATGAGGAACTGTATTAAAGGGTTGTGCATTAGGAAGGTTGAGAACTGCTGTGTTAAAGGGTACAGGTTCAAGATTCCCTGGTCTTCAGCCAAACTTTGTATGGTGTTGCTTTCTATAACTATAGGAATCGCTCAGAAAAAGAAGTCCGGGCAGCAGCTCTTGTCTTACAGACGATCTGGGGCTATAAGGAACTTCGGAAGCCATTGGAAAAAGAAGGATGGAAGAAATCAGACTTCCAGGTGCAATAACTCTTGACCAAAGCTTTGACTTTTCTTCTCCTTTGGCTAGAGCCTCTGTCTTTGGTTTCTTCTATTTCACTATCAAACTAAATCCAAGTCTTTTCGATAGTGAAGACTTTATTTGCCACACTAGCTCTTAATAGTGGTGCCCACAATCTCTCAATGTGGAAGATGCTGGCGGTGGTAAATAGTGATGATGTGTGGCCATTGTGATCCCCTTCCCATCTACTCTGACCCTTCCGTGTGCTTACAATTCTCTGATTCTTCTGCCTCTAGTTCACTGAGTACTGATATTATAGATATGTGCCACAGCCTAGCCTCAGATCCTTTTTCTGAAGAATTATAGTTGTCAGTGGGAACCTAGAGAGTTAAGCTATTAGGGGAAGAATGTATGAGTGAGGACTAGGGCAGATGATGGAGAAGGAAATCAGTGGTCCTTAAGAACTTCTGAATCAGGAAGTACATGGTTAAGAGAAGGTGACAGAAAGAAGTGGTTATTCATGTTTCTCTGATATTGGGTTTTATGTTTGCCTCCAGGTGAATCTAAATAATGCATCTAGAAGCCAGAGCAGCCATTCATATGATGATAGCACTCTCCCCCTCATTGATCGGAACCAAAAACCAGGTATAGTATCCAAGAGGTGCACCCTTCTCTTTTTAGTGCTCCCACTATTATTTAATGTCTTATTAACTAAGCAGTGGTATATGTATTCATTTCTGAATGAGCTAGACTCTGAAGAGGAGAGTAATGCTTTGCCTCTGGAGTATAATGTGTAAGAGAATAGGTTTGAATTTAGAAATTAAAACAGGCAGGGAAAGGTGTGGTGGTGCACACTTGTAATCTCAGTCCGGGACTCTGAGGTGGAGGAAGGAGGATCAGGATATCAAGACCAGCCTTAGCTACATGAGACTCTGTCTCAAAAGAAAACAAAACCAAAATCAAAGCAATCAGTGAGCTTGAGTGTGGCTCCTTTATTTGCCTGTGAATTTAGAAAGTAACGCTTAAGCCGGGCAGTGGTGGCGCATGCCTTTAATCCCAGCACTTGGGAGGCAGAGGCAGGTGGATCTCTGTGAGTTCGAGACCAAGTCTGGTCTACCAAGCGAGTTTCAGGACAGGCTCCAAAGCCACAGAGAAACCCTGTCTCAAAAAAAAGAAAGTATCGCTTAGTTTTTCTGTTTAATTTCTTCTTAAATTTCTGTGTTCTGTTGATTAATGTACTTAGTTATTACTAACTAAAAACTACTGACAACTAGAAAATCTATTATTTCTAGTACCTAGAGAAAAAAACACCATTACTATTTTAGTTTATAGCTCTGTGTGTGTGTGTGTGTGTGTGCGCGCGCGTGTGCGTGCTGCGCTTGTGTTATTATGTTTGTGTGGTACTGGGGAATGAACCCAGGGCTTTCTAGGCAAGTGTTATATGTTCTTAACTGAATTAGAGTTTTTCAAACCACTTTACCATAGATGAATTTTATATTTTGTATTGTATGTATTTTTCTCTTTCACTGAAAGTATGTACTGTAAGCCTTCTTAATGATTTCGGCTTTTGATTTGGCCCATAGCTTTGGAGTGTGGTGTGAGGGTCCCAAGACTCTTGGACATACGTGCTGATGGCATAAAAACAGTGGTGCTTGCTGCTGGTTGCTCAACATGAATAAGGGTGGCAACACTGCTGAATAAATTATTTTCATTACCATATACTCTATAAAAAGCCATCTTCACTCAGGAGCACCCTTGATGGAGCCATAAACGTTAATACCCTGAGTACGCATCGTTTAGATGTGTAGTGCTAATGAGGAAATGGGCAGCACTTGTGCTGTGTAGGGAGCCACTGTGGCTGTCTTGAGGCAGACTGTAGGTATTACTTATTTACAGTACTATTTTACTTTATGAAGCAGCTGAAACATGCTTATTTGGTAAGCATTTCCTCAAAAATAAATGTGGAAACTATCACTTGGGTTAAAAAACAGGGGCCAAAACCAGGTGGTGGTGACACCGCACTCTTAATCCCAGTCCTTGAGAGGCAGATGCAGATGCAGGCAGAACTCTTGTGAGTTTGAGGCCAGCCTGGTCTACAGAGGGGAGTTCCAAGACAGCCAAAGGTTATACAGAGAAACCTTGTATCAGAAAAACAAACAAAACAAAGCAATACAAAAAACCTCAACAACAAAAAACTGACAGTATTTGCTACCTGAGTAAACAATTAACAATATAATTTTGGCCGAGTGTGGTGACTCATCCTGGCACTGGGGGGGGGGGGGGGCAGAATAGACTAAAACCATGTCATTGGGCTTGATAATTTCCCAGTACTTAAAAGACTTTTTGTAGGGCCATCAAGGTGACTAAGTAGGTAAACTCACTTGTTCCAAGCCTGACAACCTGAGTTCATCCCTGAAAGAGAACTGACTCTTGAAGTGACCACCATATCCATGTCATGGTATGGATGGACACCGACTGAGACACACACACACACACACACACACACACACAAAGTGATGATATAAATGTTTTAAAAATACACATGCATACTAAAATGTGTTAATTTTATAACATTTACATATCTGTAAACCATTATCTTGCAGGGAGACAACGCCGTGATATTTTCAAAATCCTGTATGAGTAAATAATTCCATTCAAAGGCAAGACAGGCTAACCCATCTATGTTTTATGATTTTTCTTGAGGCAGGGCCTTGACATGGAACTCACTATATAGAATCAGTGATCCCCTGCCTCTATCTTCTAAGTGCTAAAATTATGGGGGTGTGCTTATTAATCAAAGTTAGAAGAGGTATACCAAAATGTTAAACAGTGCTCCTTACTTTTTTTTTTTTTGTCTTTCAATTTTATTATTATTGTGGACGTGGTATGTGCTGTGAGCATACATATACTTTGGCTTTCAAGTGGAGCTCAGGGGACAACTGTGATGCTGGGTCTTGTAGTTTTGCATGGCTTCTGGGAATCAAACTCAGGCTGTCAGGCTTGCACAGCAAGTGCTTGATCCGATGAGCCGCCTTTGCAGTCCACACACAATGCTTTTTAAATTGAAGGTGATTATGACTATGCAATAAATTTATTTCTAAGTAGAATAGATGTTTACATTTCTGAATATAGTAATATGTACTTGTTCCACACTGATAAAAGTCCTTTGCATCTTAATTTATTCTGTGTGTGTGATTAGGGGCAGAATCTAAGCTTCTGATGGCTAATGCCTAACCCACTTTTGAGCCAATCTTTAACCTAGACCTTCATAATTTTGAAGACTAAAGAGGCCCAGATTGCTGAAGTGCTTTTTATTTGTTTATTTTGTTTAGATATGTAGGTGCATATACAGAGGTCAGAGGACAATTTATGTGAGTCAGTTCCTTCCACAAGTTGATTCCAGGGGAGACAGGCCATCAGGCTTCGAAACAAGTACTTATATCCACTGAGCTGTCTTCTGGCCTCTGAAATCTTCTTGTATTTAGGTTTTTGTAGGAAAGAGATCAATGTTCTGTGAGGGCTTTCCTGTAACTGTAGGTTGTGACTAGTACTTGGCCCTTTGTATGTGCTGAGTAAAATGTTATTTGAAAGGGCAGGGAAGAATGGCATGCCAGAGAGAAATGTCTACTCTTTATATAGATTTTGGTGTATTGGATTTTGATTTGGATAACTTTCTAATTCCATATAGATAAGAAACCTGACCGGGAAGAAATTCCAATGAGCAATATGGGGTCAAACACAAAATCATTAGGTAGGTGATGAATTCCCGTCTAATGTTGCAGAATAGTGTTTAACTGGGGTGAGTAGGTATTTTCTCCTCTTTTCTTTTTCCTTTCTTTTTTGAGACAGTGTTTCAAGTTACATAGCCTGGTCTTGAACTCACTGCAGTTGAGCTGATCCTGAACTCTTGATCCTCTTGCCTCCACCTCCCAAGTGCTGGGATTATAGATAGCTCCACGATGCCTGGCCTATTTTTTTCTGTAGCTTTTTACCCCCCCTAAATACCCTTATCATTTGCCATCCCTGAAGTATTATGATTAATAGTCTCCATTTGAAAGGATGTCTGGAAATATAATAAAATTTGATCAATCTATTCTTATCTACATTTTCACATGTTGCTTTGGATGGGATGACCTTTCTTAAATTTCCTTAAAACTCTTAAAAATTTTTTAAAAACCATTTTTAGAATTTTTATTTTTTGAGGCAGATTCTCTCTGTATATTCCTGTTTGTCCTGAAACTTAATTTGTTGGTCAAACTGACCTTGAACTCACAGGATTCTACTTGCTTTTGCCTGCCCTGTACTGGGATTAAAAGTGTTTGCCAACATACCTGGCTTATTTATTTTATGCATGTGAGTATTTTGCTGGTATGCTTGTTTGCCATGTGTGGTGCTTCATGCCCTCAGAGGTAAGATTCCCTAGAACTGGAGTTAGGTACAGTTTTAGTAGGTACAGTTGTGAACTACTGTGTGAGTGATGGGAGCCAACCCAGACCCCTCTGCAAGAGCAACAAGTGTGCTTAACTGCTGAGCCATTTCTCCAGCCCCTGACCTTGAACTTTTGATCCTCCTAACATGCTCTCAGAAAGTTTTTTTGTGGTTTTTCAAGGCAGGGTTTCTCCGTGTAGCTTTGGAGGCTGTCCTGGAACTAACTCTGTAGACCAGGCTGGCTTTGAACTCACAGAGATCCGTCTGCCTCTGCCTCCCCAAGTGCTGGGATTAAAGGCGTGCGCCACCAATGCCTGGCTCTCTCAGAAAGTCTTGATGTGCCCCTCTCTGTCTCTGTCTCTCTCTCTCTCTCTCCCTCTCTCCCTCTCTCCCTCTCTCCCTCTCTCCCTCCCCCCTCCCTCCCTCCCTCCCCTCCTCCCTCCTTTCAGTTTAGCTGATCTACTTGCTCTTTTTTTGTTTTTTTGTTTTTTTTTTTTTTGAGTCAGGGTCTCGTAGCCCAGGTTAGCTGTGAACTTATAATACAACTGAGGATTGTCTTCAATTCTTGAGCCTCTTGCCTACCTGCTGTTCTATCTCATCATTCTACTTTATTATTTGTTATTATTAGGGTAGCCCATATTTCAGACTGACATTGAGCTCACTATATAGCTGAGGATGACCTTGAACATCTGTGGATCTTCATCTCTTTACCTCCCAAGTGCTGCAACTGTAGGTTTGCGTCAGGACATCCAACAGACTGCATTATTTAAAAACCTTGGGTATAGCTGAATAGTGATGGTGCACGCCTTTAATCCCAGTACTCAGGAGACAGAGGCAGGCAGATCTCTACAAGAGCCAGTTCCCGGACAGCCTCCAAAGCCACAGAGAAACCCTTGAACCTCCCCCCCCCCCCCCAAAAAAAAGAAAACAAAAAAAAAAAAACCTTGGGTATATTAAGTCTTCTACTGGAATGTCCTTCCCATTTGCTCTTCTAACTTCTTCTCATTCCCAAAGGCTGAGCTCAAGTTGTGTTTTGTTCTGTCAGTTCCTTCCAATTGCAGCTTACTTCTGTCTTCTCCTAATTTCAGAGCTGTCTATAAGCAAGCCCAATCTTTTTAGTATTACCCACCATAGGATACATTGTTGTTATTCATTATTTTCCTTTTGTTGTTTTTACAGTGATGGGAATTGAGTCTAGGCTAACCACTACCACTGAACTACATCCCTAGTACTGGATATTTCACATACATTCTTTTCCTCATTATATTCCAGTTAGCTAGCTCACTTCTCTATGGAGATGCCCACTTCATATACATTGTATACTAGAGAGACTATCTTGTTTCTGTGTACTTTTTTCTCTAGATAACAACTATTCCACACTGAATGAAAGAGGAGACCATAATAGAACACTGGATCGATCTGGGGATCTGGGTGATATGGAGCCATTGAAGGGAGCACCCTTGATGGTAAATCCTTGTTATATACTTACTGCTGTGTATAGGAGACTGATAATACTTTGAAACTGTATGATGTATGAAATGGGGAAAGAAAAGAGAAAGACAGTATCTTTCTTTGGTAGGTATTTTCAGGAAAAAAGTAGAGGTTTTGATGCATCTTGAAGTTTCTTGGGATGGTCTTCATTGTGTTGGAGAAAGTCTTTGCAAGTGTTACTGATGTGACTAACATGAACTAATCTGTTCTCTCCTATCCTGTTCTTGCACTTACCTTGAGGGTGTTTACCTTTTTACTTTTTAACAGTGTTTGTTTACAAACTTTGGCATATTCATAACTGGCACACAGTTAGAGGTTCTTAACTTGGCTCTCTTACTAACAAATTGCATGTGTTCACAGCAGGACGAGGGGCAGGAATCTTTGGAGGAAGAGTTGGATGTGTTGGTTTTGGATGATGAGGGGGACCAAGTGTCTTACTCCCCCATGGTATGTCCTACAGTTACCCCTAAAATGGTCCTTAAGAAGGTGGCCTCTGTGTGCCTACTCTTTGCTAATCATGCTGATCTGATCAGGCCTGAGAAACTTGTCTGAGCCATGTGGGGCCCAAGGATTTCTGCTTCTGTGACCCTGACCTCTACAGAGCTGGGGTGCAGTGGGTAATCTGGTTCTCTGTTGTGTGCTGCTTTCCTGACTCCAGATTTATTCAGTTGCCTTCTTTTCCTCCAGGTCTTCCTGTTCTCAACCTTATTAACAGCTTTCTCTCTTTTTTTTTTTCCCTACAGCAGAAGATTTAGCACCACTCTACCTGCTCCATCTGAGCATATAATATATTACTTTTATTTTTGGTGGTGAAATGGACTGATGATTTTTTTCTTTTCTTCGCTGGACTATTGTGCCAACTGCCAGGCTGCCTCCTACCCTTAAAGCCCAGAGTGGCTGCCTTCATTCCATCAATTCCCAAACTTCCACTGAAGTTAATCGTCCTGTCCTCCCATCCCCTACTTCCAGTTTCCCCAAGAAACTTGACTCAGTTATTTGCATATCTTGAGAAACTGCTGCAGATTAGCTCTTTTTGCCAGCCCTCCTTGGACTGTTGGCCTGTGTGGGAGGGAGGGAGAGAATGGAACTCTTCGCTGGAAGCTGTGGGAAGAACTGAAAATTGCATTCAGCATTCTGACCAACTGATGACTTTTAATCAAGACTATCTTTCTGGTGGGGAGGTAACTTTTAATTTTGTTTTGGATAATGGGAACTGTGAGTTCTTCCCTTATCCAGTGGCTGTTTTTGAAGCCAAGAAGGCTGGAAATATTGGCACATTCCACCTGGCAAGGGCCCTCGAGTAAGCGAGGTACTCCTCAAACTGGGATTGAGAACTCGTTTGTCCTGTCTGAGACAGGGACCACAAAGGACCTTACAGACTCCATCTCTTCTGTCAGCTTCAGGCCAACCTTGGGGTGCTGCCCTGACCAAGGCTGTCCTCAACCCTCCTCTCTTACCCTGTGATAAATCTGCTAACTTGACCTGACTGTTTGCAAGAGGCTATGTAGAAAAGAGAATACCATGGAACACTTCTTGCTTGAGAAGAAACAGAAAGCTTGTCTATTGGGGAGAAGATGAACCTCTAGGAGGAAGTAGAAGGAATGTACATGAAGCCCTTAGTCTGAGACTGGCAGGAAGCTTCAAGGCTGGCTCTCCCCACCTTCCCCGCCCCCTTTCTTTTCTTCCTTTATAGGCTTGTCCCTCCTTTTCTCCCTCCCTGGATTTGTTGGCCAACTACAAGACTTGTACATAACTCCTGCCCCCTTTGCCCTTCTAAGGTAGGAGTTGCCCTGGCTTTGCCTCCTCTTTGTGCCTTTGGCCTGGGGTGCATCTCCTCCCTCTCTTCCACGTGCCTTTCTTTGCCTTTGCAGTCTCATTTCTCATGATTTTGCAAGTTAGATTTTATTTTCTTAACCACTGTTGACCCTCAGTAGCTGAAGGGAAGAAGAGGAGTGATGACCTAAAGAAGCTCAAGTCCCTTTGGGGCTTGTTATAGCCTCTGGGTTAGCCACAGCAGGCTTCTGCTCAACGGTGTACAGTAGGGATTGGTGACTATCCCATCTTGATTAAGTCTCAAAGTGAGGCTGGTAGGAAGGAGTGCCATGACTCTATTAGTCGTCCCCTGTTCCCATCATCTCTGAAAGCTTATAGGGAATTAAGGCTTTCTGGCCAGTTCCTTTGCCTCCATTATACCCTTTCCAATTGTAGGGAATGTTACAGGTTGGGCTGGAGAATCAGCTACTATGTGGGTTGTATTTTTTTGTTTTGTTTTGTTTTTTATTTTTTTTCCTTATTTGTTCTCATTCCTTAATCTAAAAAAAAAATCTGTTCAATGCAACTGGAATTCTTCATCCCTCTTGTCCTGTTCCTTAATATATTGAGGCTATGGGGTAGGAGAAAAGTGCACAACCCACCAATCCCTTTTTTTTCCTCCTTTTTTTTCCTGTTTGCTTCCCTCCATTTCTTCCTACCCCCATCCACCTTTTCTGGCAAAAAGGAGCCTCTCCTTGTGACCCTCAGTACCCTGCACAGGGAGCCTCCCCCACCCAGACCTGGCTCTGTTCTCAGTTTCTCTTGTTCTCCTCTGCTCTTCCTGGTGCTCTTGTTTTCGGTGGGGTGTGGGTACTAGAATAGCCATGGGATTTTGGGGACCTTTAACTGTTTTGTTTTTTCCTCTTTCATTTATAAAAACACTAAACATTCAATTTCAGCAAACCAAAAATCCTACCTTCCCACCGAACACTACTAAGGGGCATGTCTTCTGCTCTGTATCTTCTCTTTTTCTTTCTCTCTTGTTAATGCTTTTAAAAACAAATGAGTTTTTTATATAAATAAAGTTTTTAAAGTGTGTATGTGGGAGATCTGTGTCGTTTCTTCACTTCGAGCTGTATTTCTTCCCTCCTTTTTCATCATAGTCATTTTGGTATCAGTGTTCTTTTTCTTTTCAGGGCTACCAGAAGGAAGTTGTCTCAGGATGGGTTTACTTTTGTTTTGGTCCCAATTCTTATCAAGGAACATTCTTTGGAACAACCCCCACCCCAGAGTCTTAATCAATGACTAAAGTAGAGCAGAAAAACTTATTGCTAATAGAGATAGAAACTGAAGAGTGCAGACTGATAGCTTCCTCATTCTCTTGGTTTTTTTCACATCATTTGACAAAGATCAGCACTGAATGCATGGCTCTCTTGAATTCAAAATGCATTGAATCTAGAGGGTTAAAACCAGCAATCCCAATTGCCACCTTAGTAAATGTGAAAGAGTTCAAAGTCCTCTGCACATGTGCACTAATCACAGACCACATGGAGTGGGTCAGACTGTTTGATAGGATAGCCTGCAAAATTGTATATGGCTGGTTAACAGAAACTAGATTACTGAGGGATATCTTTATGGCAGATGCCAAAGATTCAGACTCATAGGAAGACACTTTTACAGGACCCTTAATGTGCTGTCATATAGTTTAAAAACTTAAAGAGCATTTGTGTAAAATGCTTATTCTATACTCACATCTTCAGTTAAAATCATTTGGCTGTCTAGGATCACCACATTATACTAAATTTAAGTATGAGAACTTTTTTCTGCTTGTGAGACCAAGCAACTCCAGCACACTAGCTGTGTACATTAAGGCTTGATTTGCACTAATGCCTGTAGTCATAGATCTAAAGAATAAAATACAAAGTCAAAAACATGCAGCAAGGTTTGATTTCTATCCATGTAGAAAACCCTGGCCATTGGTATTATGGCAGATAGAAACCATACCTCTGGCTGGCCTGAGATATGGTCCTCCTGCCTGTCTCCTCAGTACTGGGGTTATAGGTGAATATCACTAGGTTCAGCTACACACATTTTCAGAGATCTAGATCATGTGAATTGGTTTGTTTGGTTTTTAAAGACAAAGCCTCACTCTAGCCCTAGCTGACTTGGGACTCACTATGTAGATCAGTCCTCAAGCCTTTGACTCCCAAGTGCTGAGATTCTGGGCTTGTGCCTTGTTGCTTGATTTTCTGAAGTTTCATGACAGACGCCATGGTACTTTCTATGCCTCTTGATAGTTCTTGCTTACATTAGAAACCTTTGGAATTCGTTCCTTCATGGCTCTTCTTAATAGTTTTTTTTTTTCTATATGAGTGTTTTGCCTGCATCACATGTGTGCAGTGTCCAAAGAGACTAGAAGAGGGTGTTGGATCCTCTGGAACTGGAGTTACAGTAGATGGTTGTGAGCTGCCATGTGGATGCTGAGAACAGAACCTGGGTGCTCTGGAAGAGCAGCCAATGCTCTCAACTTCTGCCCCTTTTAGTAATGTTAAAGAGTTTTTTCCGTGTGTGTGTGTGTGTGTGTGTGTGTGTGTGTGTGTGTGTGTGTGTGTGTGTGTGTGTGTGTGTGTGTGTACCAGATCCTCTCAGTAGATCTAGTTTTGCGAACCTGAGTACATAAAAAATACCTGGCCTGTTGGTTGAAAATATAAATTCCAGAAATTTGCTGTGGTGAAATATGTCTTTAGTTCTAGCATCTGGGAAGCTGAAGCAGGCTTCCTATAGGTTACAGACCGTCCTGGGCTGTACTGCCAGATTCTTATCCCAGAAAATAAAAAAGATCAACCTTCTGCCCAGACTTCTGAGGGATGGGCCTTGTAGCTCTAAACTAGAGGACTTGCCTACAGGCACAAGACCATAGGTACTATACCAACATCACAGTCCTATGTTTCACTTTGGAAATAATAGGTTGGTCTTGGGAATCTGAACCTTGTAGAATGACAGGTTATGTGATGTATGTGGTTATCTATCTTGAAACCCTGCTCTAGGACACTTATTTTCTATGTATAACCTGGGATGATGGACTAACTCTCGGCGATAGTAGTGAGTATAGATAATGTGGTGATGATAAAATAGGAAGATAATTGATAAAAGGAAACATTTGTTTTAAAGGGAGTGCAGAGGCTGTGAGTTCTAGTATTTCTCTATCCTTCAGGTCATCCAGGTAATTCCCAGGCTTCCAAGGGCAGGTTGCCCCTGAATATGGTACACTTTGAGGCAGAAAGAATGTCCTGGATTATAATGAATTAATGAACTACTTCTGTCTGCAAAAGGGTACTTCAACTAGGGAGCAAGTGACGCTTGTCCAAAGCCAAAGAGGTCAGGTATGAAAATGAATCATTCCAGAGAGAGGGCCTAGTTCAAGAAAACATAAACAAGAAAGAATAAGATACTGCCTGAAGCAAGCTTCTTTTCATAGAGCAGACTTCTTGACTTTTCTGCTACCTAAATCTCCCTTAAAATACTAATTCTTCAGCTGTTCCACCCAGGATTACTGGCAGACATGAAAGAAAGCTGGAGAAGCAAGGTAGATAATTGCCATTGAGACAGTTTTGAGTTTTCATTTTGTGTAGTGTACAGTGACCAGGGCCAATGAGCCACAAGTGAGCTTCATGGACAGCTCATGCTGCTGTGATTGTAGGAATTTCAAGTTTTTTTGTAAGCATGTGACAATTGGTCTTTTTCTAGTACTTTCGAGTACTACCCTTGTCTATCCATTTCTAGTTTTGTTGCAACTAAGGACAGCCACTTTCACTTTGAAGACATAGGCTATGTCTTGCTGCCATTCCCTGCTATCTCTAGTGCTAATGGACACACAGTCCAAATGCTGTAATGTACCTGAGGAAAAGGAGTTTTGGTGGGACTCCTGATTATGTTCCAGTCACTTCCAATATACCTCTTGTCTTCATCTTTTTGTTTTGTTTCATTATGGCATTTTCAAACAAATTGTTTCATTGATGCTCTTCACCCATCTTTATCAACCCTTTGGCCCTCCTTGTCTTCATTTTAATCCTTATAGGATATTCCTTTTTAATATTCAGGCTTTTGTTTTTGGAAGTGTGGTAGATTAGATTCTCTGAGAAACTTTGAGCAGAGAGAGGTAGCATACTAGATAAATGTTTATTTAAAAAATGTTCTGTCTTGTTGGGATTTACTTCAGGGTTTCACACATTTGGTAAACACTCTAAAACTGAACTGCATCTAGCTGTGTATTAAAAAAAAAGATAACTGCTTAAACACACTGCTGAAGAGGCACAAGAGAAAGCTGACCTTCTAAACAAAGCCAAGACTGGAATCCTTGAAAGTATCTGATAAACCAACTTTACTCAGAGTTATTGCCAAGCACAGCATACTTTAAGCTTCTAAAGAATGTGGGAAAGTGGAAAGGAAAGAATCCACATAAAGCTAATACCCCCAGCACAAGGATGAATAAATACTCATGATCAGATGATTTGCTATGCAAACTTTGTGACCCGAGTCAATGCCTGGAACCCATATAAATGTGGAAAGAGAAAACTGACCACACAAAGTATGTGCACATTTATTATACTACAAATAACCCACTTTGGGAGACAACAAAGAATTTGCCCTGATCTTGATAAAGGTGGGAGGATGTGAAAGCCAAATTTAAGCTACCTGTGTGACTCACAAAACAGTAAATAGTAACTTTCGGGTGGTACTCCAATGGCCATATTTCTGGATGGTTTCCAGAAGTCAGTGTGTTTCCTCTAAGGGTTCAGAAACAACTCAGACTTTGACCAGGTGCTACATGCGTATAAATGGGGATAGAAGACATGGCTGAGGGCCAGTGAGTCCCAGTAGAATGCAGATTCAAGAAGGCTTACTATTCAAAGCCCTGGTAAATGATGCAAATGTAAGCTTTACATAAAGGTGGCATGTAATTAGGAGCTGGACAAAAGGAAATCAGAATGCTGGACAATGACATGTATGTTGAGGGGTAATTAGAGCAGAATTCTCAGATTCTTGGCATTTGGGAGAAAAGTAAAGATACTGATCAAAACTTTTGTGAAACTAAGTGTCCATATTATCTCTGTTCAAAGAATAGAAATAGAGCGTATAACTTCCAAAGAAAAACAGAAGGGCAGAGGTGTCCTTAAAATTGGTATTTCATCTGATGGAATGAGCTAGGCTTAAGGGCTACAGCAATACAGAAGGGATGTGTGTCATCTTAGTGCTGGGATTGCATCCAACAAATGAACAGATGTGTGCAGAAAAGAGTAAGGGTGGAAAGCAAGTGTAGACATCGGGAAGAAGTCTGAAAGAGTTTCCAAAAAGGCAAAGTTAGCTGAATAAAGCTTCAGTAGCTGCCAAGTGCCTTGGTCATGTAAATTTAAAGACAGGATTAGGATGGAATACTTGAAGTCTTGCTATGTCGTTTTCTAAATTGATTATATTACAAAAATCTAGCTTCCCACATTCTAACAGGGCTTGATCCTACAGCTTAACTAAAACTGTAAGCAGCCCTTTGACAAGATGGAGGTGTGTGTGTGTGTGTGTGTGTGTGTACATGTATACCCATGGTGGCTTCTTCTATTGCTCTCTACCTTATTTTGGAGGAAAGTATCTCACTGAACCTGGAACTCGCTGGTTGGCTGTCTCTCATTATATCTGAAACTCATTGACTGACTGCACTGGTTGGCCAATGAGCTCCTGAGAAAAACCCATCTACATTCCCTAGTGCTGGGGAGATGTATAACTGGATTTAACATGGGTGCTGAGACTCTGAACTCTTGTCATGCTTGCATAACCAGCACTTTTCCTCAGTTGTGAGATGTACCTTCTTTCAGAGACTGCTGGCTTTAAGGTAAGAGGGTCAGTGAGGAGCATCGTGCTGTTCCAGGTCTTTTCAGCGCCATTCAGCATTTCCTGGCCTCCAAAGTCTTTCTCAGGGCCATTAGGTGAAATTTTGGAATGCTGATGCTCCATCATGAGACATGTGTAACAGACACTTTCCTAAGTGGAGCCTATCCATGGTGCTTAGCTTAGATTTTATATGGACTCTAGCTGTGCTATTCAAT